CTGAAATAATAATAAAATAATGGGCCTAGTCCCAAATTGATTGTACAGGACTTGGTGCCACCATGATACACTGTGTCGTATACAGAGATGAGAAATCGATCACGTGGTGAATGCAAGCGATTTAGACCGTTAGCTTATTGTTTCATGCGCGGTTTGTTCATATCGTGTCCCGTGGTCGCAATTCTTCACCCACGGATTTTGTTAGCCCTGCATTAGTAATGTTTGTTGACTATCCGAGTGCACAAAAGCGTACAACTTGAAGGTCAAATCTCGAGCATTGATGATTACTGACGATTAAACTGAATCGCCTAATCAGATGATCTTACTGCACACCATTAGGTGAAGTGTATCTTGCTTGTTTACGGTATCAAGGAAAGCTTCCTTTTGTCTCAATCAACAGCTTTTCGGATTTCTCTGAATGATTTTTCTTAAAACGTTCAATAATTTAAATTTAACTCTGGTGTGTGATGGATAGTATTGTTTTTTCAACTGATCCTTCTTTAAACTTCATCTTGTCAACTGTTTAGTTAGGAAACATTAGACCCAAGTTTTACCCTCTTTAGAGTTTATTTATAATGCGCCGCTAACTATACATCCGGGGTTTTGGACGTTGGATCCTTCGTCTACAATGCGTGCATTTTACCAATGTGTCAACCGGTTTTCTCCGGGGAGCTGAGCAGAATAACAACAAAAGGGAAATGTAAACTCTACTAAGGCTAATCGAAAACTACACTCTAATCAGCTGTCAGTCCAAAATCAATCCTGAGTAATTTTTACGACACTGAGTGACAACCCAGTGTGGTCACCTAAGCTTTGCTTTCAATTCGGTCCTTATGCTTCGCTCTAAGTGACAAACTTGATTCGTTTGTTTGTCTTTACGCATTATTCGTCTGTGAGTTCGTCATTTTGCACGTGTTTCTTTGATTGAATTAAATAGATTCACTAATTTTCCCGGGCATTTTTTCACCACTTCGAAATTGCTGTGTTTACAATAATCCTTTCAGATTCACTACATCCGAATGCATACACCACTCGTGGATCCGAGGGAGATTTGCTCAATATCACACCGCCATCCGGATTCTACGATCCAAATGGCAGTGGTGGCACAGACTCCGGTCTGGTGAACGGTTCCTCCTCGAGCAGTCGATCCAATCCGCACACGAGTGCGAATAGTTTCGGTCAGAGGACTTTTCTCACTCCACTCTATCCGATTCTGGGGAGTCCAGCCAGTGCGGCCGCAAACGAGTGGTCCGGAGTGACTATGACCGGGAATATGAGCAACACGGTTCCTGGCCAAGTCCCGGGTACAGTAGCAGTAGGAGGTGCGTCCGAACAACAACAACACATGGTGGGAGCGGTGGATGGTTTATCACACGGCACATCCGTTTCTGGTGAGGTCAACAGCGGACCGTATGCATCCGCAAAATCCATGCTCTCACCTCGAATGTACACGGCTTCAGAAAGAATGCTCTGATGAGTCCAGAGGCCTCCTGTTCCCTTTTATGACTGCACATGATCGTGACGATTTGACAAATTTCTCCCACGACAGATGGAACATATGGACACACACAAATGAACGCACTAACCGACAGACTATTTACTTCTTGTGTGTGTGTTTGAGAAATTTCATAATAATGATACCATCAAAACAGTCCCGTCTCACACCCTCTCCTTACCGGGTGCAATCGCTGCTGCGCGAATTGTAGTTCCCACAGTCCTCCAATAACAGCCAGTTCTAATCCAACAGACACACACACACACACACACGTACACAGATAGACAATTCGAACCGGTTTGAGTACTCACGCGGGCTGATCATTTATTGTGTATATAAAACCACTGTTCATTCAAGTGTGAGTCCCCGGATTCCCATCCTCGATTTTCCC